ATGTAAGGATAAAAGATGAATTTAGATTTGCCAGGGAAATGATTGTCTAATTCAATGCTAGCATGTTACGGAGAAAGAAGTAAACCAGAGGTATAATGAGTTGAGCGAGGTCACAAAATTAAACAGACCTAGAGAAGAAAGAGAAGGAACTTAATCCTTGTTGGTCGCCAACTTTTATCCAAGTGTTTTGCATTGAGATAGGTATTATAACTCCAATTTTTTTTTTTTGGCCAGGCTTGGGGCCTGAACTCTAGGCCTGGGAGCTGTCCCTTAAGGCTCATCAGCTCAAGGCAGCGCTCTACCACTTGAGCCACAGCACCACTTCTAGCTTTTTCTGCTTATGTGGTGCTAAGGAATCAAACCCAGGGCCTCATGCATGCAAGGCAAGCGCTCTACCACTGAGCCACCTTCCCAGCCCATATAACTCCAATTTTATAGTTCAGAAAACATAATATGCAAGTACTTAAGTGGCAATTGGTTGGTGTTGTTTGCTAGAGATTTCTTGTCATTATGATTGTTAATTATTTAGTATTTAATGTATTAACATTATTGCTATGAGTGAAACATGGAAAATTAATTTTGGACATTAACATCAAACATCCAGAAAAACCTCTATGTAAAAGGTACTACTTTCTTATAAGACAGGTCAAGATGAAGAAGAATATAATGTATATCAAGAAATCTTGCCATTAAACATGTGGCTTCCCCCTGTTTTTTTGTGCACTAGGAGTAATTCATTTAGTTTTTGATTTAAAAAAATATTGGCAAATGCTTAAAAAGCGTCATGAGAACAACCACCATGGAAACTCACCATTGTCAACCAAGAAAAAATCCCTGCACATTCTTAAGTCAGATTTAAACTCTGAGTTGTCAGATCATGTCTGCTGATCTACACAGATTTACTACAGTGACAGGGTATAGCATTAGCTTTTCATTACGAATCAGCTAATTCATTTAAAGGTGATGTGACATGTGGTTTATAAGTCACACTCATCGACTATGAGCATAAATGCAGTAGCTAATAGAACAGATGTGCATAGCCAGGATCTAGGGCTTGCCTAATATGTGTGAGACTATCTTTCCCTCTCCTTCCTCTCATATACACATAAATCTTGTCTCTTAGACTAGTCTCTGCCCTCCTCTACCATAATACCCTATCTTACAGAGCATCTGAGCCTCTCCCTTCTTTTTTTTTTTTTTTTTTTTTTGTCGGTCGTGGGGCTTGAACTCTGGGCCTGGGCGCTGTCCCTCAGCTCTTCAGCTCAAGGCGAGCGCTCTACCACTTGAGCTACAGCGCCACTTCCGGTTTTCCGGTGGTTTATTGGAGATAGGAGTCTCATGGTCTCTCCTGCCCGGGCTGGCTTTGAACCACGATCCTCAGATCTCAGCCTCCTGAGTAGCTAGGATTACAGGCGTGAGCCACCAGCGCCCGGCTGCCTCTCCCTTCTTGTATCATACACTGTAGATAAAATGCCATAGCCAGACCACCTACTGTACACTCTAACAGAATCAGTTGTGGAAGTGAAGAATGGAATTTGCAATTTTTCCCCCCTCTGTAATTTCTGGAAGATTTTTTCCTCCTCAAGGATGTTTCTAAAGAATGATAGACAGAATATAAACCAACTGTGCTGAGGCCTTATTTTCCTCCTCTGTTTCTAAAGGATTGTCTAGTGGCTTGGAGATTGCAACATATGGCAGAGAGCACACACAATCCTTTAAAGTAGATTCATAACAACATCTTGCTACTAATCTCTATAGCCTCAGAGCAGAGCATGGCAGTTATCAGTTCAATCTAAATACTGTCAGTCACCTGTTTCTTATGATGATCTGAAGGTGGCAGCGGGTATAAAACTGTCTTGCCTAATATATCTGTTTCTTGCAATGCATAAATGGTGAGCAGCAGGGGCTACTTGCTCCATGACAAGCAACTCAGTTCTTTAGGCCTTAGTTTCCTCTTTTTGTGAGAACTGAGGTAACATTAATGAGAATATAAGACAGGTAAATACAGGTGCTATTAAAAAAATAAAGAGCTAGAAATGAAGCTCAGGGCTCAAGGCCTTGCTTTGTCAATTCTCAGCTGTCTGACCTTGGAGAGGATTCTAGATCTTTTTCTTTATGGTATCATCTATAAAGTTGAGATGATTGCTACACTTCACAAGGTTGTTGTGATGATTAAATGACACAACAAAAGTCATATCAAAAGTTAGGGGACTTGCTCAATAAATGTTAACCACAAGAAGTTGTTTGGAAATAAATTAGCATCTGGCTATCAACCAAGAGAGGGGATAAAACGCTCAACGCTCTCTAACTTGGAAGTAAATGTGATCAAGTCCCTCAAGTATCTGGTTCAATCTTTCCAGTGCTAAAACCAGATACATGACCAGTTCAAGGTCATTACCACAAAATCTGATATAGTGCTCTTATCTAGACTGAGCAATTCACTTTAATTGAAGATATATCAGCTGGATTTTTTCCTTGTCGCATTTGAATATGAAATCCAACCTATTTCATAACCCTGGTAATAATTTCCAAATTTCCATATTTTAAAGTGTCTATTGCAAGGTATATAAATAATCTAAGAGGTGCTCTTGGCTGGTATCACACACATTCACTTTCATCACATTAAAATTTCCTCACAAAGTCAAACAGGCTGGGCTGGAAGAATTCTCTTTTATATGTTCTGTAGTTCACAAAAAGTCTATTATCCCTTCTGCACATGAAGGGCTGGAGAGGACTTTGATGTGGTTTCCTTTGTTTCCTTACTTGGCTAGGATCACACAAATGTTCAGCTAATTTGGAGTGGGTGTAACTAAACATCTGTGAAGCCTCATGCCTCCTTTGTAGAGGCGTAGGTAGGGTTAAAGGCAAAGAATGACTGTAATGAACATATTGTATTTTATGTGTTTTACTTATTCCCATGGTTTGAGATCCTCAAAAATAACCTTGGAATGGATGCTTAGTTTAATAATTAGGTAAAAGCCACACAGGGAAGCTCAATTAGTTGCTTTCATGTACACACTAATAAATCACTCTGATAACCCTGTTATAACTACACGACCAGGTGTGTTTGTGTCTTTGTATTAATTACCACACAATGGGTTATGATTCACATCACTACAAAGTTGGGAATACTTGGTTACGAATACATTTTTAAAGAACTGAATAGAAATGAAGAGGAATTCCTATATTATAGGGTCCCTAATCTGTGATACAAAAAGCGTGACTGGGTGCCTTGGTAGATGGGTGTAATACCAGTGATTACATGTGTGGGCTTTTATTTTACCCTTTTTCTCTCTTCATTGGTTGCTAGCTGCCACAAATGAGATCACTCTTGTAGAATAGATCTTATCCTGAAAAAAAATCACCTGAGTGGTGTCCTCTGACTAGCTAACTCGAGGAAGAGTGTATTTCATTCTTCTAGGCAATTTATATGGGGAATGGCCCTGCAAAGTGGCAGCTGTGAGGACCATTGTGGCCTTGCTCCTCTGACAGCTTGGTGGCTTCCGAGAAATGGGAATATTCAGGATGCAGCAGTTGTGTTCTCATTGGTAAACTGATTCCCCAAAACAACGCAGAATTGAAAGCTTTTTGGTCTTTTCCATCATGTGCGCCTCCCACCATGACTAATCTCAGACTGCCAACATGAGTGAGTTGGGAAGACGGGTCCACAGGCTGAATCTCATTGACACCAGTAGGCTCCTGCACACCCCTGGGTGTAGGTCTGCTAGGGAGGGAGGAACTCTTGGCTGAATGGTAGAGGAAAAGCTGCCTGATAAAGACTGATCTAAGAGTCTGAGATTGAAATGATTTAGCACTTAGCTCCTGCTGTCAGCTTTTATCTGGCTGTTGAGGACAGGATTGCCAATCTCTGCAAGACTGAGCACCAAAATAATGCCACTCCAGCATCCCAGGGAAAGTCCACTGCACTCTGAATCTTTGCCTGTGGGAAGACTGGCTTTTTATCTGTCCTATTCCTTCCCACTGGATTGGGACTGAGTGCGAGAGGAGTCAGCACTTTCTGGCAAGGTCTGGGGAGGTTCTGATTTGACTGTTAGTACTAGAGTGGAGAATCCACTGCCACTAAGGTTGACAGGTGGGCTGGACACTTGGTTCAGGCTTAGCATTTCTCACATGAGCCTTAAAAGTTCTCTTGGTGTGTGTGTGTGTGTGTGTGTGTGTGTGTGTGTGTGTGTGTATGTGTGTATCAATGAGAGATAGGCCTCACAAGCAGATTTATATCCCTTAACCTTGCTGAAGTGTTTCTAGAATAGTGTGGGAAAAGGAGCTGTAGTCTGTCACAGGAAAAGATGGGCTTTGTTGCTTATAGTGATTAAAAGAGGATCAGACCAAAAAAAAAAAGAAATATATTTGTGTCTATTGTACACTAGGAAGGTAATAATCTTTCAAAGATAATCAAATGTGACAAATAAATGTAAACATTTCACCCAACACCGGATAGAAACTCTACAGTGTCCCCTTGTGTACAGTTTCAGGCAGAGGAAGGGCACTTCTACAGATGTTCTCATTTCGTTTTGAGTTTTCAAAGGTCTCTTGCACTTGGTCTCAGAGTCAAAAACAGAGAACAAGACCTTTATAAACACAATGTCTTTCTCTTTCCCCACTTTTCTTCCATCTTGCTCTTCCGCACTCAAGGCATTATCCTGAAGCATTGAGATGTTTAACAACACTGCGTTGACGATGAAAAACCAGGTTGGAAAATGCTTGGTCAAGACAAAACACTTCCCGGTTAGTGAGAAGACCATTTTGTTGAGAGAGACAGAGAGAGACAGAGAGACACACACAGACAGAGACAGAGAGACAGAGACAGAGAGACAGAGACAGAGAGAGACAGACAGAGATAGAGGAGAGAGGAGAGAGACCCACGAGGTGGGGAGGAGAAAACAAAGCAAAAGTTGCTTTGGGAAGTGGTCTTAAAAACAACAAAAACAACCCCCAGAAAACCAAAATCTCCCCCCCCAAAATAACCCAAGCCCCAAGGCTCACACCATCACAACCAACTTCTTGTGGACCTCCAGGCCTCTAACCACATTGCAGAATTCCTCAAAAGATATTCTGCCATCGCCATCCTTATCCAGGACGATGATGGTCTTGTCCACGAGCTGCTGCAGCTGCCAGTCCTTGAGGTTGTCGCCCACCATCATCTTCAGCACCTGGAAGAGCTCGCCGTTGGAAATGTAGCCGTCGTTGTCCATGTCATAGATTCGGAAGGCAAACCTCAGCTTCTCCTCCTCAGCCCCCTTCACGCTGAACTGGGAGGCTCCCATGATGAACTCTCGGAAGTCCACCACGCCGTTGCCATCCACGTCGAAGATCTCCACCACTCGCTTCACCAGCGGGTTCTGCTTCAGCTGGGGCAGCGACAGGAACTCCTCCACGCTCAGCGCGCCCGACTTGTCCAGGTCTATCTTCTTGAATCTCTTGCCCAGACGTCTGAGTTCATCTTGGTCAAAGTGAGAGCACATCTCCGATGGGTAGCTGGCCTCATTTCCCATGGCAGAAACCAGGTGGACGGAGGGTCAACGGCTGCCAGGGGGTCGGCAGGATCCGAGAACAGAAGCAGGGCACGCGGGGCGCGTGGAGAATGGAGACGGGGCGGCGCGCGCCCTGGACTCCCTAGGACGGTTGAACCACTCAGGCTAGTGGGCTCGTGGCCTTGGGGAAGGGACATATTGGGCTTCAGGAGAGAGGAGGTGGAGGTCAGTCTGGAGAGGAAAGCGGAGGGGAAAGGGGCCCAGAAAGGAAGGGAGAGGAGTGGAGAGCTGGGGACTGCGCAGTAGAAAGAGAGGCAAACAGCTGAGCCGACTCCTTCTCTCCAACTTGTTGGGAGATTTTCCATTGCAAACCATCCCAAGGATTTTGTCTTCTCCTTTCCTCCTTCTCTCCTCAGGGAGAAAATAAGCCCCAAGTAAGCCAGGACCACACCCTTAATTACTCACCAGCACACCGACATAGTCTGCACCTACTAAACAGATGTTAACTGAGCGAGGGAATGGGGGACCAGGGCTCACGCTTGCTTTGCAGGCCTCAGGTGGTGCTAAGTCAAAGGACAGGCCACAGGTGGGTGGAGTCTCTCGGAGGAGAAGCCAGAAGCTTTTCTTGGAGGGAGGGGAATGTGCGGTCCAGAGTCTAAGACCCGCTTTAAATGGTCACACGGAATTCTACAGCGTGGATCCTATTCCTCAGAAATAAACACAGTTGTAAATTTGGGATGTTCTTCCAGAAGACACAAGTCCCCAGAACACAAGGCTTGTAACTCTGTGGCTTTGCTCCCTGTCTTTGTGGTCTGGTGCCTGCCGGCTGTCTGTGCCCTGCAGAGTAGGTTGGTGATCTGCAGTGTGCTCAGAGAACTCCAGGCACCGGTGTGTTGAGATTGACAGTGGTCTCCAGGTGACTTCAATTCCCCACTTCCACTAGATTTCTTCTTTTTGTTGAAGATGAATTGTACAGACTGCCCCAAGTTCCTTCTTCCTTTAAGGGCAGCACATCAATTACTCTCAAATGCATGAGAAATAAATGTAGTCCAAGAGTAGCATGGTTCAAAGGGACTTGGGGGAAGCTCAAGCCACTACATCAAACTGAAGGGTAAAAACCACGCTCTGGCTTTAAAAAAAATACTAGCAAGGTGCTGTCTCCTTTAGTTCAACCAAAAGGTCAGGCTGAAGGTCACCACATGAAATTGGCACAATTGAACCAGTGGAAACTTTATCATTAGGTTGGCCATTTTAACAAATAATAATCCATCGATACACGCATAGAGAGCACATATATACGTAAAATAGAATGTATATTATGTAACAACACACACAGAGCTGATCATAGGTATTAGATGAATTCCCCTATCTGGGGAACATGGTCCCATGGGAACATATTTCCATCTTATCTGCTTGCTTTCCAGTTACTCAGAGAGATGAATAAGGTGTAGCTTTAGCACAAAGCTTTTAAATTTGCAGTTCTAAAGGGATCAGCAGAAATTATATTATGAGAGGTATGAAATCTGTGTTAAATGCCATCAGCTATTCGGGTCTGTTATCTTTCTAGAGCACAAAGAACTTCCTAGACTCTAGGCCCCGGAGAAGCTCTGTGTTATTTTTCCCCATCCCCCAAGGGGGCTAATACATAGACCATTCAGTTTTATGAAGATTAAAATTGAGAATAGCCAATATAAATTATTGTTACTAATTTTCTTTCTATCTGCTGTGTAGCAGTTTCTATTTTACTTTTTCTTTTGGTGTGTATATATTAGTACTGAGGCTTGAACTCATGACCTGGGTGTTGTCCTTTAGGGTTTTTTTTTTTTCCTCAAGGCAGGTGCTCTACCACTTGAACCACAATTCTACTTCCTGGCTTTTTGGTGGTATAATCGGAGATAAGAGTCTCATAGACTTTCCTGCCCAAGCTGGCTTTGAACCACTATCCTCAGCTAGGATGACAGGGGTGAGTCACTGGCAATAGCCTTAGATGTGAAATCGCAAAGCCAGAAGATCTGTCAGAGAGATGGCATGAGTCCTTGGATAGATATCCTTACATTCTGCTGCCAAGTACTTTAGCTGCAGTTTACACCTGTTTGAGCACTGATTGTGGATTCTCTATCTCAGCTGTGAGAACCCAGACCATGGAGATTCTGTGCCCATCCGCCACTCTCCCCATCCTTCTCCTGGGTAATTTCTTGATGGTCATGACTTTGAAAGGAGTCACGAGGATAGACATTCTTAGTGAGCTGTGCTCCTCTCTGCAGTGTATTACTAGGAAGCAGTAAGAGGTGGTAAGAGAGCATGGGAATTAAATATACTTTGTTCGAATCTCAACTCTGCCCCTTATTAGAGACAAGCCCCTAAGGGAAGCCATTAGTCTGTCAGCCTCTGTTCCTTAACTGCAAAATGTCACAATAAGCGCACTTGCATTATCTGCTGCATGTGACTGTTTGGTGTGACAGATGTAGTGTCTACAGCCATGTGTCGTAGAAGGAGAAATATTGTACAGACACTGCCCGGAAGACGGTGCTACTCCGTTCCATCTCTTTCAGTGTACAGAAGCAGAGTTTTATTCCTGAACTTTGCAGAATGAAACATTATGCTAGAGGTACGGCCAGTGCGAGCTTGAGTTCCCCATTGCTCTCCATTTCATAAACGGCATAGTCTAGCAGTAGTAAGGGACTCAGCTTGGTTGTATTCCAGCTCGGTTGTTTCCCTAGTCATTCTTTTCATTCATGGAAAGCACTATGTGTTAGTCTGTCATTTGTCACTGTGGAGCGGACTGTAGGAATTCACTGTAGTAAGAGACCAGGTGGATGGATGGATGTGGAAGAAACAAACCAGAAGCACTCCTGTCAGCAAGACATTATTTGTTTTCCCCCTCAAGGATTTTCTGATGAAGAGCTGTGAGATGGTCAAAAGAACTGATGGTAAAAAGAACTGATAGTAAGAAATAAACCTACTGGAATTGGAAGTGATGAGATTTGAGGGTCCAATTCAACTTCCTCTTTCCAGGAGAATTGGTTGTCTGAGTAAGGTATACGACCATTGTTGAGGCTTGCTGGGCAACCCTAACCTCCAGCCAGAAGTTCTCTCCTCGTGGGGGTACATCTCATTGCACCAATAGTGACTCCAATATAGTCCATGGAGCCAGTCAATCCCAAGTTTAAAGTACTTACAAAGCATATGAACTAGTGCCAACACACAGTAGGTCTCCACTGTTTGTATTGTGTCTCCTTTTCCCATCCCTACTTTTTGTTTTGTGCCAGCACTAGGGCTTGAACTAAAGGCCTGGATACTGTCCCTTAGCTGTTTCCATTAAGACTGGTACTCTACCATTTAAGCCACACCTCCTACTCCAGCCTTTTGTTGGTTAATTGGAGCCTCATAGATTTCCTGCCTGAGCTGGCTTCTAACTACAATCCTCAGATTTCAGCCTCCTAAAGTAGGATTAGAGGTGTAAGCTACTGGTGTCTGGTGCCTTTCCTACTTCTTTATTTGCTTTCTCTGAAGCAGAAATTTGACTCTGGCTACATGTGCTTTATCTTCTTTGCAGGAGAGGAAACTTGCTTCAAGTTTAAATACATTCATTCAACAAATACAGATGGAGTACCTCCTCGATGCCAAAGCTCTGTGCCAGATAGTGGCCTTTACTGTGGCGATAAACCATAGGAGTTGGAGAAATAAGAGTTTTGCCATTGAGAAATGTAGTTTAATAAGCATTATTATGCCAGTCATTTGGTCTTTTATGTTCATCATGTATATTTAAAAGGATTAGGAAAAAGACGATTGACTTCCTCTTGTAATTCTGGGATGGTGTTTAATGGGGGTTTTGAAGTGTGTAATTTTAAATCAAAGTTTTGCTGTCTAATAACTCTGTGACCTCAGGCAGAATTAATTATCAGAGTCACTGCTCCTTTGTAACACAAGGGAAACTATTGAGAACTCGGCCTCCTTTCACAGATTAAATGAGATAGGATAGTAAAGAAATAAGGCTCTATGCCTCATACACAGTAGGCACAAAAATAGCAGCAATGATTATCCTGGCCTACTTTAGGCTTGCCTGAAAACTCTAGCAGAACCGTTTTTGTAGAAACACATGCACAGGGGATACTGTCAACATTCATTTTGCTTCTTAACAATGCTTCTTGGGCATGTACTAGGTGAGAGACCCATTGGCAGGGAACCAAATTTCCATAGTTTCCTAATACAGATAACTTCTCCGAGGTCCTATATGATGGGTTTTTTACAATTTTGTTGGAGAGAAGATCATTAACCAACTTAGTATGTAGATCCAGGCCTGTACAGGAGTCTGTGATGATAATTCCAGGTGGGAGGTGCTGGGAGAGTTCGCATAATAGGAAATCTTCACTAGGATAAAGTAGTACTTGAACCAAAATCTCAGGAAGTAGAGAAATTAACTAGATATTCTAGAAAGAGGGGGTGAATGTTCATGACAGAGGAAATGCCACGATTCTGAAGACCCCAAGACCCATGTATTAAAGACTTAGTCTTCCGGCTTGGCGCAAATGGAGAGGTGTTGGAATCTATTTGAGGTGGTCCTAGTGGATGGTCTTCTGGTCACTGGGTCTTGAATGGTATGGTAGGATCATAATGCCTTCCTCTTTTCTTTTCCTTCATCCTAGACATAAACTGAGCAGCTTTGCTGGGCCATGCATTCTGGGTCATGATATGTCATCTTGCCAGAGGTCCCCAAAGAATGAGACCAATCTATCAAAACCTCCAAAACTGTGAGTTAAGATCAACCTTTTCTCTTAATAATTTTCTCATTTCAGATCATTGGTTATAGTAATGGAAAGCTGATGAACAACTTCACTTGCCACTAGGTAAATACAATCTCTGCCTTCACCATCAAAGGTCGGGCTCTCTGTGTGCATCTCTACCTTCACATGGCAGTAATTTTATGAGGACACCCATGATATTGTATTTGGAGCCTATCTTACTATAGTATCAAGTAGTACTAGTTAATCACATTTGCCAGGATTCTGTATACAAATGAGACC